GGATAAAAATATTTCCAATCGCCATCTGCCCAAATGTTGGGTTAAACATTTTTTGGATGAGATTTCTATACAAAAATTATAAGATTAAATAAAGCAGACTACACCCCCAATACAGGTAAGCCTCACACAATCAGTTCAATTGAACAGCAAAAGCTGAACCTCCCACCTCCTTGAATTAAGACAGTTCCTCCTAATTTTTTTTGTTTTGTTTTTGTTTTTTTTTTTTGTACTGTGAATCAAACTCAGGACCTTGTGCTTGCCAGGTAGATGCTGTGCTGCTGAGCTATATTCCTGGACCCTGACAAACTGACTTGGAACAAGGACATCAGCATCTTCCTGCCACTGGACTCAAAGAGAAACATCAGCTCTCCCTGGGCCTCATGTCTGTCAGCTTTGAGAACTACACTGTCTCTGGTTCTCAAGCATACACTCTGTTTTTCTGAGACACTGTCTCACCATATAGTTCAGACTGGCCCTGAACTCACTGAGTAGCCCAGGCTGGCCTGGAACTCCAGGCAATGCTCCTGCCTCAGCCCCTCGAGTACTGCGATTACAGGCATGCGCCACCACCCTGCCCCCAGCTCAAGTATACACTCTGTCTGGCACTACACCATCAGCTCTAGTCTCTAGGCTGCCAACTCACTCTGCAGACCTTGAAACTTATTGGCCTCTTTGGTCACATGAGCCAATTCCTTGTAATATACCTCATGGCGAAATACAAACACCTCACACTGATTAAATTTCTCTGGAGAACCCTAATGAGTATAGTCCTGAGAACAGGCACAGAATCCATCTCTCGAACCTCTTAGACCAGGGAATGCTTAGCCCTTGTAAGAGGTATTCCATTACCATGCTTTCCGCAGCAGAACTGGAGCATCTAAACGAGACTGGTGGATAAGCAGGCACCCAACCAGACAATAAATGTTAGTCTCTCTTCTTGATGGCACATAAAACTCCAAAAGTGACTCCTTTGGTAACATTCTCTTAGATTTAAGAAGGAAAACAACTCCCTTCCCTCCTACACAGTGATAATAGTTGATTTCTTTCCATTTATACTACTACCCTTCTAAAGAGGTCACCTCCTCATCTCCCTTTTAAGACTTACACATTTATGACGTAGGCAGTCATAAGGCAGCTATTCCCAACAACTTACTAACTTCTCAGAAACCTGTGTACAGGTTTAGTAGTCCTATTAATTAAACTTTATCTTTGTGACAGCAGGGAATATATCTCAGTTGTTTGCATTTTTAATTCTTAATTGGAATTTTAGTAGCTAACAAAATCCCTTAATTAAGAACCAGACACTAGGGCCAGGGATATAGCTCAACAGTACAGCACCTGCCTGGCAAGCGCCAAGGTCCTGAGTTTGATTCCTGGTTCCACAAAAAAAAAAAAGTATCAAACACTAGCAGGGGATATAGCTCAGTGGCACAGAGCCTGCCTGGCAAGCATGAGGTCCTGAGTTTGACTCCCAGTACTCCGCCCACCAAAAGAATCAGATACTATTAAGAGGCAAGTATCAAACTGAGGATGTAGCTTAGTGGTAAAGTGCTTGCCTAGCAAACAAAGGCATTAACAAAAGAGTCAAATATCCATAATAACAAAGGTAAAGATAAATATGACTAATTTTTTTTAAGTTTAGAACAAAATGACTATTCTGTAGCCCACGGTTTGGTGTCCAATAAACTGGTACTACTCACCACACTTTATGCTGTTCCAGCAATTATATCTTAAATCTAGCAAGTACTGTATCACAACTCTAAGGAACAGACAGGTGTGGTAGCACATGCCTATAATCCCAGAACACCAGAAGCTAAGGTAGGAGGATCGCCATGAGTTCGAGGTCAGCCTGGGCTACACATGAGACCCTGTCTCAAAAGAAAAAAAAAAAAAAATGCTGGGCATGGTAGTGCATGCTTGTAATCCCAGCACCCAGAAACCTGAGGCAGAAGAAGCACTGCCAGTCTAGGCCAGCCTGGACTATTTAGTGAGACCCTGTCTCAAAAAAACCCAAAAAACCCCCAGGAGAACAACCAAACCTCTACAAGTAATCAGTCACATTCCTTGTTATATACATAACTGAATTTAAAGTCTTCTCATTTACTTTTTCATATGTAAAAAATGGCTGTTTCCATGGCCATCAGATTCCCAAACAGAAAGTCTTAGAATTCATAAAAATGAACCATAAATTTCTAAACTGAACCCATGTCCAGGCCAACACACTTGCAATTCCAAGTTTTTATATATATTATTGGGTGAATATTTATGCAAATATTAATGTATATATTTAACATATTGCACTTACTGGAAAAAGAACTTTCATCAAGAAAACTTCCAAATCTATTTTCCAATTTTAGTCTAATTCTAGAACAAGATAGCATCCTGAGACATTAAGAGAACCAAATATGAGTAAATACCTGCACACAAATTAGTAATCACAGGTCTAAACTGTGAAAGAAACTAGTTCAGTTTACAGAGAGCAGCTAAGTGCCAAATAAAAACTAATCCAAACCAAAACATTCGGCACAATTTCTATTTCTGGCAACTTCAACTCCTGGCTATGACACTAAATGGTAATAACTGATAGAACTATAAAAATATTGGCATCCTTTCTCTCAAGCTAAAACTGGTACTGGTTCACACCATAAGCACCTTGAATTAGATCAGTGATTCTAAAGTGGAAGCCAGAGGTAAAACAAATCAATGGAACTTTTTTCCCAAAACGTACTTGCCTCCTTCATATTTCCCAATACTAAAATTCTGAAGGTAAATGTGATCTGATAGATGTGTATGTGTCTTTTAAAAATCTTCTAGAATATTTTGAGATACTTATTTGCCTCCACCTTTATGGAGAATTCTCGTGCTAGGTACAAACCTTTTTAAAAATATCGTATCAATAACAAGCATAAGAAACAGAGCTACAGGAGCTCTGCGGAAATCCACGCAGGTAAAAAGCTGTATTCACAGCAAGTATAAGCCCCCTTCAGAGATTCTGTACCAGCTCCCTCCAAATCTAAACATTACATTTTAGACAATAACAAATGTTCAGTCCATCACTTTGAGAAAAACACAGTTTACTAGCCAGACCAAAACGTAAAAAGCCAATTGTTGCAGGAAGACCCTAAGAAGCCACAATGAAACACCAAAATTCTACTGTTCTGGTATTAAAAAAACAAAGTACTACTATTGGGTGCGGTGTCGCACCCTTGTAATCCCAGCACGTGGGAGACTGAGGCAGGAAGATTGCTCTGGGTTTGAGGCTAGCCTGGGCTACACAGCAAGACCGTGTCTCAAAAACAACAGCAAAACCAAACTAAAACCAACAGACAAAAACAGTAAAGTTAAATCAATATTCCTTGTGAAAACAGCTTACAGGTTGAGTTAAAAAAATTTGTAAGATCCATTTTAAAGTGATTGTACTTCAACGCCCACTCCTTATAAACAGCTCCAATACTTAAGTGTTTTAGGAGAGGACTTCTATGAGTTATATATAATGTCCAATTACTATAGGCTAATTTGGATTAGTGTTTCTTAAAGTACCTGGTTATCTTTTATGTTCAATATATGGCATGCTGCAATGACACCTACTGGACACACTCAAAAGCAGCAATTAGATCGCCAAGACAGTCTGAGTAGGCTGGTTACATAAGAACACACACACACACACACACACACACACACACACACACTTGAACCCCAACCCTACATAAAGGCAGCGATTTGTTCAAGAGTACTCAAAACACTACACAATTTCGCCCAAAACAGAAGTTTTCTTTGTGACTGAGATAGCATTACTTTTTTAGTGATTAAAGACAAAGAATGAGGCACCAAGAATCATTTAAAATTTTTAATTAAAGTATTGACAAGGATTTCAGTACTCTCAACACTTCAGAATGAATTTTAAGGTTCCACTTTTCTTTCCCACATACTTTGAGAGAAAAAAAAATGAAACGGTGATTCAAGTTTATATGAACTAATATAAATTATTACTAACACAAAAAATCACATTTTGGAAAGTTTTTCTGACAGGTAATACTAAAACAAATACAGGAAAATGATAAAATTGCTAATACTTCATTCCTCCTAAACCAAAAAGAATATTTCGACAGCTTACATCGTAATTTATAGTTTCTTTTAAAATTGTTTTCTAAACAATTAAAATCGTTTTCAATGAACGATTCAAATCGTTCTCATACATCATGTTTGTCTGTAGTCCGTCCTCCCACAGCACACGCTCACTGAAATTCCTATTTTAACCCTACATTACACTGTGCAAACGATGAACACAAAGACTGAAGAGCAAGATAACTTATGATTAGTTTTATCTGTACATATATCTTACCCAAGTCCAAGAGGTTCAGAGCACACCTTTCAAGCCTAAGATACAACTAACTCATCACGAGCGCCTCAGACTGACAGAGCAAACTACTGAAAAGTCGGCTTCCCCCTCTCAACTCCGACTCCAACTTTCCAGTCCCCGACACGCGCAAGATCTGAGGAGAGGAGGGGGTCGTTTTCCAACTCGGACGCACCTCCCACCGCGGATTTTTGAAGGTCTCGGCTTTCCTGAGAAACCGTCCTGCTATCGCCCCGGCCCTCCTAACGAGCGCAGTCACGAGTCACAAAGCACGAGCCCACCCACACTCGCCCGGGCCGGCCCCGGCCCTCGGCGCCGCCCGGCGCGG